TGTTTGCTTCGAGAGCTCTGAGAAATTCTGAATCCCTCTGAATTCCTACTCTTCTGAAAATTCTGTGTCCTCTAGTTCGCTTCTAAATTCAGTTCAATCCTCCTAGCCCTCTCCATCAAAGCAGAATAATCATCCATTTCAAGAGGAATCAGTGTCTGCTTAATCATATTCTTTAGCTTAGACAAAAACCTATGACACTTCTTCTCAATATTTGGAATCAACTGGGATGCATACCTTGAAATCATAGTGAATTCAACTTCATATTGCATAATTGACCGATCTCCTTACACCAATCTAATAAGTTTGTCCCGCATTTTCCTTCTAGCTGAAAGTGACATAAACTAGTCTCTAAATGTGTCAGCGAACTCATCTCATTATATTAAGTGGTTGGTTCTACCTCCAAACTTTTTATGCAACTATCCTCACCACTATTTCTCAGCTTTTCCCTCAAAAGCCAGAAGTGACAAATGTAACACTCATCTCTGGTAGACAAGACAAGACAACCCATCTATAATTTTTTTCACTCTCATTAGCCATTTCTCAGCATCCACTGAACTTCCTCTTCCATAAAAGAGAGGTGGCTTCATATCGTGAAATATATTCAAATATTTGTTCATCTGGCTCCCTTGCTAAAATTGGCTTTAGCCTTAGAATTCTTAATCATCCGAGTCACTACATTCATTATTTCAACGAAAACATCTGTATTCACTGGGATATTCGGAGGTACATCAGTCATAGTGTGTACTCTTGCTAACTTTCTCTTGATTATCCATTTTTCTGAAATAAGAAGTAAAAGAATATACTTAGTCACAATTAAACCCCTTGTTTCTATTGTTTATTAATTAATTTAATCAACTTAATGACTATTTTTTATTAAGATTAACACCTAATTTCTTTTATATCACTTTTGTCACGATTCGACCTAACAACTTAGTATTAACTAAGTCAGGAACTGTGGTCAGATGATATTATCATTTCTTTCACTTTCCACATATTTTTATAACTTTCTATTTTATAAAAGTCACTAAGAAACCGCAAAATATGTTACTTAGAAATGAAATTATCCAAAAATTACCAACATAATTTAATAATAAAGCATCTCAAACTAACAACACAACATAATGCTTACAGCAGTAATCGTCCTATAAACTCTTTCGCCTGCCAGACATATTTATTAATATTTCTTAAAAGCAATTATTAATATTCAAGAGTAGTTTACATCACTTAGTGAGCAATTATAATTTTTTTATACATTAAATTAATATATAAATGCGATGCATGAATGTCTTAATGATATGCAATTTATTAAAAAATAAAACCCTAAGCTTTCATTTTGAGTTTAAACTTTTTCATTTCAATTTAAGTTTTATTTTTTTGGTCGTATTTAAGAAATAATATAAGGATTATCATCATACCCGAAGGTATTATAAAAAAGTTATTCCTATTGGTACCCTAAAAAAATTTTATCTGGAGGTATATATTTACTATTTTCTTTTTTTTTATGCACGAGCATATTGCATCATCCGCCAGTAATATCTAGGGGTAATCCTGATTGACTTAGGGCCCGTTTGGGGGCGCGTTTGGGAAGCGGGGGGGGGGTTTTGAAAACCCCCCCCCCCCCTGGGGATGTTCTGCGGTTCGCCGAGCTCTTAAACTTACAACAAGCATATAAAATATTAAAATAATTATTTGCAGCATTGAGGTAAGTCTTTATTTAATAAAATAATAATTTAATACATATAAAAATGTAATTACTCAACTTTTCTCTTCTCCCTCCAATTTGATTTTCTAAAGCTTAATTCTTTCTTAATTAAATCAATTATTAATATTTTAATACACAAATATGTATATATTAGATTCATTAATTAAAAATAAATACGCCCTAATATTTACCTGAATTATCTCAAAATCTCTTTTGCACAAATATTGACCTTTATCTTCTTGTAATTCTAGACCTTAATAGCTTCAATCCTGATTTGATTGAACTTACTATTAACATTTCTAATTAATTAATTTATATAATTTAAAAGCTTAAAATGCTACCTCACAGAAGACGTGATTCCTATATATCCCACATGCTAAACAACAAGGATCGCGAGGCTTTGTTTTGGCTTGGACTCCACTACCTTATGTGCTCCTCTCTCCCTCTTCTTCTCTTCTTCCCACGCAACACATTGCCGCATATCCCATCTCCTTTTTCCTCTTTTTCGATGAGACACGAAACCAAGCACGACAGCACATGAGCCTCTTCCTTTTCTTTTGTATTCGAATTAGAGCACGGTGACTTCGCTTTGTTTTTTAATTTCGTCTCCTTCTCCCCACCGCCTATAGTACTTTGTAGCCTACAAAGGAAAGGACTGAGAGAAGCCGAAAAGCAACTCCCCCCCCC